TTGGTGGTTTGAGCCCACCAGATACTCTGTGTGAGAATGATGAGACTTTCTGTTTCTGCAAAGATTCAGTCTCAGAATACCTACACTGGGTCCCTATGAGTTGGCAGTTAACAACAGCAACATCTTTGAAAAGTGGGAGACAAACACCAATTAAGCAGAAAGAAATTGGAAATGTTGAGTTAGAAATTGAGTGTGTGTCAGGAGCAAAAAATGCATAAGAGTAGAAGAGAGTTAATCCCAGGTGGTTTTGCTTCTTTGGCAAGTTGAGGAAAGATCATTTGTTGGAGCTGATGATAGGAGTTTGTAGTTGTGTGATTAAATAAAGAGAAAGGACTATAACAGCCACCATAGTTTGGCACTGTAGGATAAAGCACTGGACCACAAGGTCAGTTTGAACCATAAGATCAGTTGTTCATACTCACCAGCCATTCCTTATAAACCAGATATAGGTTCACTATGAATATAAACCAAGGCACATAAGAAAGAGTAAGAATGGGAATTTTATCAGGAAATCAGAAAGGTTTCAATAAAAGAATTGATGGGCAATGGAGAAAGCTTCATTGAAAGTGGATGGCAAATTTTTTTCTTGCATGTGAAGGGAGAGAAGAATTAAAAGAGAAACCAAAAGTGACTATAAGGTTTTGATCTAAGCCACTGGATAAGTAATTGTACCAGGGTCATATCCTCCACCCCCCTCCCACCCACCCCTCCACCAAAAAAAAAAGAATTATAGCAAGAGTGTATACTATTCATCACTACCTCCCCCCTCCCCCAAAAAATAAAAAAAGAATTGTAGCAAGACTGTATACTATTTGTCTCTGAGAGCAGGAAAGAATGATACAGAGTCAAATTTGAATTCGGGCACTCTTCCTGGTTATGGGACTACATGAACTTCAGTTTCTTCATGTTTAAAACAGACATAATACCTCTTTTGTCGATACAGTATTAAATAAGATTGCCTTAATACCATAGCTAGGTCTATAAATATAGTTCCCCTTTGTCACTGATGACTGAACCCCCTAGAGAATGGCATAACAGTGTTAAATTCAAAGTAAGGGTGTCATTTAAAGGACTAATTGTAGTTCCGGGCTGAATAGGAACTACAGAGTAGCCAGGAATAATTGGGCGAAAAGGAAAGGAATTAAGTGATGATTAAAGGTTCCACCACCTACTGCAGTGGAGTTGATTCTGACTCAGTAAGCCTGTGTATAGAGTTTCAAGGCTATAAATCACTGACAGCAGAAAGCCTCCTCTTTTTTCCGCAGAGCGGCTGGTTGATTTGAACTGCTAACCTTGCAGTTAGCAGTTCAGTGCTTATCCTACAGAGCCACCAGGGCTCCTGATTAATGGTTCAAGCATGGATGAGAAATAGACTCCATAGGTATGATGACATGGGTGTAAGAATAGGATAGTAAAGGTACTTTTACTGGAGAAACCTGTGTGTGCTGAATATGAAGTGCAAGTACTGAGAAGTTACATTCTTGGTTTATCAACATGCACATTGAAATCTGTGGAACAAATAGTTGCAGACAGGAAGGTAAGACAGACTTTGTTATAGTTTCTATTATATATCCTAAGAATAAAAAAAAATAGTCTGGTTGATGGTTTAAAAAAATAGAGTAATGATACCGTAAGGGTAGTTGAATACTTGGTGATAAGTTGTAGAGCATGGATGCTTATATTGTGGTCCCAAAGTGGTAACCTCATCCATTCTGTGTGAAGTAATAGGACCTGTGAAATGGCTATATAAAACAATTTCTGCTTGCCTGAGAAATTTGAAAGAAAAGCTGAGAAACTGGTTTAGAATAAGAGAATTTACCAATAAAGAAAAGGAAAGCCAGAAGTATGGAGGGATATGATTGGATGAGGTACATATGGCTTTGTTGTTAAGTACCGCCAAGTCAGTTCTGACTCATAGTGACCCTGTGTAGGGCTTCCGAAGAGCAGCTGGTGGGTTTGAACTGCCAACCCTGTGACTCAAACTGACTTTGCAATCCAGCACATTATCCTTCCAGCGCCACACACAGGACACCATTATGGGTGTAATAGTCGTCAAAGTTTGAATGTAGGAAAAGGAGAAAGAGGTTTAAACTCCAAGGAGAAAGGAATAAAGGTGAGTGCGTAGTAGCAAGTGTTTTGAGATGGGGAGCACATTGCAACTAGTGTTGTAGGACAGAGGAACATGAGATATGGAGTCAAGAGGCTGGCCTGGAGTGTTGGCATGCTATTAACTAGTCATATGATCACGGATAAAGAAATCTCCCTGCACCTTACTAACTTTTACCTGCAGAAGTAAGCAATTGGACTACATCTCTGAGGTTTCTCTACCAGCGTCCTTTTCATATTCCTGTTTCTAATTCTAGCATGATACTGCCCAGTTCTGTGATGATGGAAAGATAGTGTTTCTGAACTCTCCAGTAGATAACCACTACTGTGGATAACAGCATGTGACTTTTGAGCACTTAAAATGTGGCTAGTGAGAATAAGGAACATTTTTAACTTTTTAAAATCAAATAGCCACTTGTGCTACCATATTCAACAGCACAGTTTTAGACAAGATCTAAGTGATCTTGATTTACTTTTTTTCCTGTATCAAGATGTTTTTTTATTATGCTTTTCCAACAGTTGCTACCTTATATAGTCATCACAGTTGATGGTTTTGATGAAAAATTCATAGGGAAAAAGTATTAAATCTTGTTTGCTAAGCTTATCCATGTACTGTGTTAAGTGAGATTTTTTTTTTAAATGATAGCAAAATGTGACTAAGTTAAGATATTTTTGACTAATTGTTTTTGGTATTGTTCTCTGTTATGTAGATAGAATACTAAGAATGATTCTGTATTTATTTCTGTAATTCCTTAGACTATAATAGAACTCTCTGAAGAGCGAGACGGTCTGCATTTTCTACCCCATGCTTCTTCATCTGCACAGTCACCCTGTGGTTCTCCAGGCATGAAACGAACAGAAAGTCGACAGCATCTGTCAGTGGAATTGGCAGATGCTAAGGCCAAGATAAGAAGGCTTAGACAGGAACTGTAAGTTGCTGGTTTTCAACACCCATTGAATTATCTTGATCACAAAGATTACCTAAATATTTTTAGGCTTATGTTACAGCTTCCTGCTTCCTAGTTGCTAGCCAAAAGTTTTCACCCACATTTGTCAAAATGGGAAAAATCAAGAGACTGCCGTAAGGTTTTCCTAATGTAAATTTTTTAAAATTAAAGGATAGCTTTTGTTTTAGGATTTATGTTCTTCCTCTTTCTAGTTGTAATATATCCTTTCTTTTATAAAATAGCATCCTTTCTTGGAATATTGGGGTCTCCTTATTTTTCTCTTTTTACATTCCTTGAGATCCAAATTTTGGAGACCATGGTATAAATCAATAAATCAATACTCTTTTAAAATTGTTGTTATAAACACTGAATTTTTGGAGTATACAAATATTATTTAAAAAACAAAAAACTAGTTTTAAATATGTATCTTCTGCATAGAATAATTGAAATACCTGAATATTGTTTTTTATAGAAGACAAATTTCAGATTTACCTTTCAAAGATCATTTAATAAAAGGTCTGTTTAAATATCACATAGGCATTCCTTGGTGAACCACTTGTAAACAAATCACTTGTCTCTGCATGAGATATTTTATTTTGTATTTTAAAAAGAACAAAGGATTTTTTTTATCCCCCAAGGGGAGGTTCTGTTTCATGGAATATGAGCATTGGGGTGTAAGTTGTAAATTTAAGACCACAATCTAAGGATTAAACGTATTTACTGATTATTTAAAGCAGTTTAAAAGTAGATGAATCTGCAAGGTACAAAAAATAGTATAGTCTATAGGAAAATTTGAAAACCGAAAGATACAGCTTTCTTTTGTGTATGTCTGTGTTATTATGTATCTATTGACGTGAACACGCCCAGGATATTCTATAAACAGCTGCACCAGGAAAATTAGGAAAGAGATTGCTGTTATTAGTTTGACTGGCAGTTAATGGATGGCCTAAACAGTGCAGACTAGTTCGTTCCATATAATTTGGCACAATTGTCTCTAGTCTTTAGATAAAGCATGCAATTAGAACTGCATGATGGCTGGGAATCCATTTAACATTTTGCACTGTATTAAATTTTAATTTTTAAATAAAATTTACTTGTTTATGGGTATATTAAAATTTCAGTCAGTCTGATAAAATTTGAGTCCATATATGTTGATAGGAAAATATAAATGCATATGTTTAGTGAGCAAATAACATACCAAATGTTCCAGTAACTAGCATTTCATAAGATACCATCTAGTATCTTTGTTGTCCTCAGAAATGTGTTACTTCTTGGAATTCTTCCATTAACACTTGTTTTAAGCTCTTTTTGTTGGGATAGGTTTTCACTAAAGTGAATGAAGTACAGAGATCATGGTGCAAAAATAGTTTAGTTTGCCTTACCTAATAGAAACTATCAACAAATTATTTTAATGAAAACATGCAGATTAATTAATAGCATTCTCATTTATGTGGTACATCATATAATGACTTGGTAAATAAACACATATAGTAAAAGTGTAATGTACTTGCATGGAAGGAGTTCTTTATAGATTTCACTTTTCACAGTAGTTGATACTATCCAACCCACCAGTTGCTGTCTAGTTGGCTCTGAGTCATGGTGACTGCATGTGTGACAGAGTATAACTTTGTCCATGGGGTTTCCAGGGTTGATTTTTTTTCAGAAGTGGATCACCAGACCTTCCTTTCAAGGACCCTTTAGGTAGACTTGAACGTCTAACCATTTGGTTAGTAACTGAGCACATGAACCAGTTGTACAGCTCAGGGATTCCAACAGTATCAAAAGTTCCCTTTAACAATTCTCTGCCTTCATGGATCCACTGTTCTGAAAATGTTTTTCTCTAATGCAAATGATTATAACTATTCTTTTAAAATGAAAAAATTAGTAGCTTTATTGAGATAATTTATATACCAGAAAACTCATCCTTTTGAAGTGTAGAATTCAGTTGTTTTTAGTATATTCACAGAATTATGTAATACTCACTACTGTTTGACTTCAAGATATTTTCATCACCCCATAAAGAAACCCCATACCCATTACCAGTCATTCCCTATCCTATCCTGCCTTCAGGTTCTGCAAACCATCCATCTGTTGCCTATTCTAGACCTTTCATCTGAATGTTGTTGTTGTTCGGTGCCATCAAGTTGGTTCTGACTCATAGCGACTTATGTACAACAGAACCAAACATTGTCCAGTCCTGCACCATCCTAACGTTTGTTGTTATGCGTGAGCTCATTGCTGCTGCCAGTGTCAGGACATCTCATTGGGCATCTTCCTGTTTATCACTGATCCTTCATTTTAACCAAGTCAGATGTTCTTTTCCAGGGTATGAGAGAAGAAATCTTGTCATCCTGGCTTCTAAAAGAGCATTCTGGCTGCACTTTTTCTAACACAAATATATTTGTTCTTGTAGCAGTCTCTTCTCTGAAAGCTTGGTAGAATTCCCAGGGGAAACTGTTATCTGGTCTGGGTCACTTTTTGTTGTTCATGGGTTTTTGATTGTTGACTCAATATCTTTTATGGTTTTGTGTTTATTGAGATATTCTACCTCTTTTTGTGCTTGTTTAGGTAGGTTATGTGTTTCTGAGAATTTGCCCATTTCATCTAAGTTTTCAAATATGTTGTGTGCAAGCTTTCTTGGTTGTTTGTTGCAGTCCTTTATATTTCTATTGGATCTATTGTAGTATCTCCAATTCCATTTCTTATTATGGTTATTTGTATCCACTTTGTGTATGTGTGTAAGTCTGACTAATGATTTCTCAGTTTTAGTGATGTTTTCAAAGAAACAACTTTTGTTCTTTTTAAAAAAAGTTTTTTTTTTAATTTTCTCTGTTGTTCAGTTCTTTATTTCATTTATTTATGCTTTGATCTTTATTATATCATTTCTCTGATCTGAGGTAAGTTTTCTTATTCTGGGTCTTCAAATTATAGAATGACACTGCTGATTGGCGAATATTCCTTTCTTTTGATGTTGTTGTTGTTGTTGTTGTTGATAAGCGCCGTTGAGTCAGTTCCCACTCAGAGAGACCCTGTGTAGGTAGGGTTTCCAAAGAGCAGCTGGAGAGCTAGAACTGCCTACCTTGTAGTTCAAACTGACTTTGCAGTCTAGCACCTTAACCCGCAGTGCCACACCTTTGTTCTACAGGTTTTGGTATAGTTTATTTTCATTGTAATTTAATTCCATATATTTTTTTAATTTCTGTCTTGATTTTTCCCTTGATCCATTGGTTGTTATTTTGTTTCCAAATATTTATGTGCTTTCTATTTTCCTTACATTATTAATTGCTAGTATTATGTGCTTGTTATTCAGAAAAGATACTTTATATTATATCAATCTTTTTATAAACTTGTTTCATAGCTTAGGAATGTCCCATGTGAACAAGGAAAAAAATGTATGTTGTTTTGCTGTTGGGTGGAAAGTTCTTTATGTGTTTATTATATCTTAATTTTTTATACCATTGTTCCAAGCTCTCTCTTTCCTTACTGATTGTCTTAGACTGGGCAATCTAGAGAAGCAAAATGAGTGAAACTTGTATATGTATGTGTGGCACTGTAGGATAAGCACTGGACCACAAAGTCGGTTTGAACCTCAAGGTTGGCAGTTCAAACTCCCCAGCAGCTCTTGGAGTCCCTATACAGGTTTGCCATGAGTCGAAACTGACTCAACAGCATGTAGCAACAACCTAGAGAAAGATTTGTCTCATGGAAATGATTCATGCAGTTGTAGAGGCTGACAAGTTCTAAGTGTATGGGTCAGCTATCAAGCTGGAGGCGCTCCTGGCTCACATAGCTGCGGGAACTGACAAATGCACGATTGGCAGGTCAGATGGCAGTCTGCTGGCTGCAGAGGCAAATGAATCCAAGGTCAGCAGGTAGGGCTGCTGACTCAGAGGCTCGAGAGCTTGATGACCACTGACTCAAGTCCAAACAGCCAGAGATCAGATGAGGAAAATCCAGATCTAGAAAAAGGCAGGAAAGCTTTGCCAGAAAGTCCGCAAATATTGGAAGCAGACCACAACCCTAAGAAATCCTCCTTTCAGTTGATTGGCTGCTCATTCTAGATCACATCATAGAGGTGATAACATTGTATCAGATCTCATCATAATTGCCAAACCACTGAGAATCATAGCCCAGCCAAGTTGACCACAACTTTTAACTATTAGTTGTTGTTGTTAGGTGCTGTTGAGTCGGTTCTGACCCATAGAGACCCTATCTATATACAACAAAACACCGCCCAGTCCTGCACCATTCTCAGAATCACTGCAGTGCTTGAGCCCATTGCTGCTGCCACTGTGCCAGTCTATCTCCTTGGAAGTCTTCCTCTTTTTCACTGACCCTCCACTTTACCAAGAGTGATGTCCTTCTCCAGGGACTGGTCCCTCCTAATAATATGTCCAAAGTATAAGAGACGAAGTCTGGCCATCCTGGCTTCTAAAGAGCATTCTGGTTGTACTTCTTCCAGTACAGATTGATTTGTTCTTCTGGCAGCCCATTGCACTTTCAGTATACTCCTCCAACACCATAACTCATATGCATCAATTCTTCTATGGTCTACCTTATTTGTTGCCAAACTTTTACATGCATATGAGGCTATTGGCAATACCATAGTTTAAGTAAGGCACACAGCATACAGATTGAATGAGTATGGTGAAAGGATACAATCCTTTCCTAATTTTTAAACCATTCAGTGTCCCCTCGTTATGTTCAAATGAATTGTCTCATGATCTGTGTACAGGTTCGTCTTGAACCCAATTTTAAGTGTTCTGGGATACTGCTCCATAATGTTGTCCATAGTTCATTGTGATCCACACAATCAAAAGCCTTTGCATAGCCAGTAAAGCACAGGTAAACATCTTTCTGGTATTCTCTGCTTTCAACCAAGATCTGTCTTATGTCAGCAATGATTTCCCTCATTCCATAATCACTTCTGAATCCAGCATGAATCTGACAGTTCCCTGTCAATGTACTGCTGCAGCACTTTT